CCCTTCAGCCAGAGTGGAGATGGTCCCACTGTGCGTTCATCGCTCCTGAGCTGCCCTCCTAGAACAGGGCTGAGCCGTTTGGAGCCCCACCGCCCAAAGGGCGGTTGAGCCACCACGTCTGCAGCTCCCCTCCCCTCTGGGGCAGCCTGCCCGCTTGTCCTTGCTGACTCTCTCTGTCCCTTCTGCCAATCTCCCCCTCCAGCACCCGGCTGGCCATGCTGAGCAATGGCCTGATGCACTGGAAGAAGCTCCCGCCGCTCCCCTCGCTGACCCACCAGCCGCACCAAGTCCTCGCCAGCGACCCCGTGCCCTTCGCCGACTTGCAGCAGGTGGGTGCGCTCCTGGGCGGAGCCCCTCCCCTCCCCTCAGGCACACACCCCCAGCAGGGCCCTGAGCAGTCTAGCCCAACGTGGCTTCCTTCCACGGTGCCCCTCCATCCGTTGCTCTGCGGAGTAGCAAGTAGGGGGCAGCCGGGGCCTTCGTGTGCAGCAGCCTTTGCTCAAGGGACAGGCCCCTTCCCTTCCGACGGCTCATTCAGGCCCCTTGGAACGGGAGGCCACGAGACTGCCAGCTGGGAAGAATCAGGAAGAGGCTGCACGCTCCTTGAGACCCTACAGAGGCAAGGGGAGGGGCTCTGGCGGGATCCCCCGTCACTGCCTTGGTCTTGTCCCCCTCGGTGAGGCATCGATTTGGGGGCCTGAGCAGTGTTCTGGGGAGGCAGCCTTGTGCTGCTGAAGGGTTAGGGGTTAGGGTTGGCCGTAGAGATGCAGGGGGCTGGGGCTGGGCGGACCCTCGGGCTGTGACACCCGCCATGCGGGAGGGTGCACAAGAGGGCATGAAGGCTGCTGCCCCGGAGTGTGCTGAGGTGGAAGGGGAAGCGTTCCCGGAGGCCGGTCAGTGGCTCCTGGCCCAGGGAGTGTGCCTTCCCTCCTGGATCAGAGGGAGGACGCCTCGGTGGATCAGGTCCTGGGGGAAGCCCAGGCAGGAGGGGGGCCGCTGCCCTCCCCATCCTGCTCGGGAGGGGAGGGCGCTTAATCCACCTGAGGTGTCTGGCCGGCCACGGCCAGAACAGAGTGTTGGACTCAAGAAGGCCCTGTGTGGCACACAGGTGTGGAGGGGAGGGGCTGGGTGGAGGTGGCGCTTTGTCGGCTCCTGGCGGGGAGGTTGTTCCTCCGGGCGGCTCATCCTCCTGTCTCTTCCCCCCCACCCCCGGTTCCCTCTCCCAGGTCTCCCGGATAGCTGCGTACGCCTACAGTGCCCTCTCCCAGATCCGAGTGGATGCGAAAGAAGAACTGGTTGTACAGTTTGGGATCCCCTGATGCCAGTCTCCGCTCACCAGTTTTTTGTTCGGTTTTTTTTTGTTATTGTTGTTTCTTTTTGGGTTCTTCCCTTCACTTTTATTTCTTTCCTCTCCACAAAACGGCTTAATCACTGCAGCGGAACTTGTGCAGACCAGAGTCACCGAAGATCCTCCTCCTTGCCACAAAGACAGTAACTTGCGGGTGGCTGGCTGCCGCTTGAGGCCGCTCCTGCCGAGGCATTCTCTGTTTTGCTCTCTGTTCTGTGGGGGGCGGGTGTGCCTGTGCGCCACCTCGCGCAACCCCAGGGCCGGAGGGGTGGGCGCTGGGGCACGGATGGCGCTGTCTTCGCTCGGCTCCAGAGGAGGGCGGCCTTTGCATCGGGGCTGATCATGGTGGGAGGGGAAGCCGGTGTGCCACATGGTGGGAAGAAGAGGGTGCAGCTGTAGCAGCAGCTCCGAAATCCTCACTCTCTTGCCTGGTGAGAGAGGGGTGGCCGGGAGACAGCTGGCCATGGGGGGCGAACGGGACTGCCTGTCACTTCCCACTCTGTTGACCTGAACTGTTCTCCTCTGCTGCCCCCCACCTTTATGATTTTGTAGGAGGGGGTGAGGGGAAACGGGCCCCTTTTTTTCAACAGGCAAGCCACAGAGCAACTGAAAGGCGCTTGATGGCCCCGGCTCTTCCCCGCGTCCGCACCCCCCTTTTGGTGTGTCAACCCTCCACCTCTTTTAATTAGCTCAACTGTCATTTTGTTTTAATCTTTGTTTTGTTTTGGCTAAATTAGATAAAGTTTAAGTACATTCATCCAGCCCACAGGCTACTCCTTACTTGGCAAAACTGGAGCCGAGCGGAGGCCGAAGGGGGTGTCTGGGCTGTGAGGGACTGGCTCTGAATGGGGGACCCGGCGGGGGGTGTCTCTGCTGCGGGAGGGGGCTAGAGGCGAGCCCTCGCCCCCGGGTCTTATTTTAGCTGGCCTCGTCAGCCCACCCAGCCCTTTGAGGGGCACAGGCATTGCTGCGCAACTGGCCCAAGGCCACACAGGGGTCAGGACAGGTAGCCCCACCTGCGGCACGCACACCTTCCCTCCAAGCGGCCTCAGCTTTCCCCTCACCCTAGAAGGCCCACTGCGGTTTCGAACGCGCAGCCCTTCACTCTGCAGTGACCCTCCTGAGCCCTCCTCATCTCTCTCCAGCCAGAGATGAGTCCAGGGACACCCCCCCCACCTATGGGGCATGTTGGGGGACAGTCTATCCCGGAGGTGGCAGTAGCCCCCCAGCCCCATGACATGCTTGCCTTAGCGGGGGTGGAGCAAGTGGGAACGCAGCCCACGGCCCGGGCTCTGTGTGTGGCATAAGAATGGACGCCGGCCCCTGTGGGAGCTCCAGCTTAAGCCCAGAGATGGGTGCGGTTTGAAGGTCACGCTGCGGGAGAGCCGCCGGAAGGGTCCTGCTTGGGCAACGTCTTTAGTTTGAAAGGAGAAACCAGCCAGTGCTGCAGCTGCTACCGCCCCTGCGGAGTGGGTCGGGGGCTGTACGAGGAAGGGAAGACGGGGCCTCCTCCCAGAACACCAGGTCTTCTCTCTTCCAGCTCTGCATGGCCCTTTGGGGGAAGGGCCTTTTCCCTAGGGCTCCAGGTAGGAGAGGCCGGCAGGTCCTCCCAGGGGCTGGAACTGAAACCTGGCTGGGGCTGTTGCCTGCCGGCCTGCCTGCCTGCCTGCCTGCGACGCGGGGCCCTCCCCACCGAGGGAAGGCTCCTGGGAGCCTCCTGCCGATCTCTACCTCTGCACCTGGCGTTTTTCAATATATCTGTTCCTGCCCTTTGGCCCCAAGGTCTCCAGATAGCAGGGATCCTGCAGGTTTTGCACCACTGAACAGGCCTGGGCCCCCGTCCCGTGGGAGATCTTCATGGAAAGGGTGGTCTCCTTACCTCTAAGGTAGACGACTCTACCACCTGCGAGCGTGGGTGGTGTGCATCCTGACGTGTGACCGGATGCTTTCGCTGAAGGGCCTCTGGGCTCCACCCACATCTTGCTTTAACTTCAAATGTTGACACATAATGCGCTTGC